GGTGAAGGTGGACTGTGCAGAGCTCCGGAGAACACCGCTGGATTGTAATACACCTTCCCCAGACCCTGCGACCTACCCATTACTTAATTTGTGAGTTACGCCATTAAATAAATATTCCTTTAAACTACGTGGAGTGGCCAAAATAATTTCTCCAATAGGAGAGAGGGAAGGGAGAGAGGGGAAGGAAGAGAGGGAGGGAGAGAGGGAGAGAAGGGAGAGAGGGGAAGAGAGGGAGGAAAGGAGAGAGGGAGGGAGAGAGGGAGGGACACAGGGAGGGAGAGAGGGGAAGAGAGGGGGGAAGGGAGAGAGGAACACAGGGAGGGAGGAGGTCAGTGGTTGACGCCCAGGCATTTAGGTCTCAGCCTGGCAGCCCTCATCTGTCAGCTGCAGAGCTCTTTGCACTGTTGGGTCCACTACTGCCTGAAAATCCAAAAAAGCTCTGACAAACCAGTTCCTCTGAATGTTTATTTTTTTCACTTAAAATTTTAACTTACTTTCAAGTTGACTTTAAGAGATTTTACAAGTATGAAATTATTGTTTTCAACTCACCAATTATTGTTTTCTGAGAATGACAACATTGATTTTGCTGCTGAAACAGGCCAAGTGCCTGCGAGGCACTGGGAGGACCACGGGGTGCACCCCAATCCTTTAAACTATGCAGGACCACAGAGACCCAGACCCCAGCCAAATGCCTAATTCCTGTTCCTACAACTATGAGCGTGCCCGTCCACTGGCCACTTTGGCGCACGCCACCCTGCGATGTAAGAGCCTCCAGGAGCTCAGAGCTCACTTGCCCGGTCAGGCTCAGTCAGGCTATTTGTCCCTCTTGGGTTCACAGCTCCCCTCACCGACCCTGGAACGTCCAGCCTGAACCTAGAGCTTCAGGGTGAAATATTGTCTAATGAGTCAGCCGGCGCCCTCTCGCCCTCTCTCACAGTCGGCTCAAGGCTGCCCTGTCTGGAGGAGACGCTTTCCCAGAGGAGCAGCTGGACAAGTGTGGCCTTCAACATTTCGGACACTCAGGCTCATATCACACTGGCGATAAGAGGAGCATCCTAGTTGAGAAAAAAATTGAAAGTAAAGCGTATTGGATACTAGCACCCTAGCATTTGCACCCCCGAAACCCATCCCATTCTTTTTGGTTCCCTTCCCTTGGCTGCTGTCTTGATCCAGGCGGCCTCACCGGCCTCACGGCTCCAACTCTGTGAAATGTACCCCAATGATGACAGCTCCACTTATGACCAGTAGGTGGCGGATTTGTCCAAGACAAGATGCTAGTCTTTCAAGGTGGCCAACGAGACCCGCATAGTTTGGCTAAGGTCTGAAGAGCTGTGCCCCGAAGACCCGAAGCTTTCATTGTATCTAAGTGTGTGTGTGTGTGTGTGTGTGTGTGTGTGTGTGTGTGTGTGTGTGTGTGTGTGTGTGTGTGTGTGCTTTATTTCATAGCAGACTCAATTCAGAGCCTGGGGAATGAGGCGGGAGTAAAAATAATGAGCTGCTGTCACCAGCTATGGTCAAGTCTCCTGAGGACCCCAGAGGCGTTCTGGGACCAAAGCTTTGTTTTGAGGTGGGGAAGATGGAGGTTGCTTTATCAGCTTCAAAGCTGCTGCCGAGTTTCCTTGCCTGGCACCTCAAAAATGATCAGTTCTTCTCTCAGAGTCAACTGAGATTCTAAGGGTTAACTCAGGCACGAGTACTCCAGCAGTTCAAAGGCTTTGGAGGAGTCAAGAGCATCGTCAGAAAGGACTGTGCTGGGCTGGAAGGCTGGGAATGGGGTGGCTCATAGCTTACTTAGGGCTGTAAGGGAAGGAGGCTGAAGTATTAGGGATGCTCTATTTTCAGTATTAGGTAAAAGTTACTTGTAAATACATAGAAAACTTAGTAGTCTACAGGGAGAAATGAAAATTACGTCTCTAGAGGCTGTAATCCCCTTACTTAGTTCATACCACTGGAATAGGAGACAATTGGCAGCTGCTAAGTTTCATGAACACTTGTGGATTTAACAAACCGCGTCTGGGTCTAACTTCATTCTGCAAATAGGAAAGCCTGATGATTCCACCTAAAGACCCCCATAACTGATTAGTTCAGTAATGTGGTTGGACCCAAAACCAACAGACAAACCACATCAGCAACAGATTTTCTAAAAAGAACTTGTGAAAGGTGTTCAACCTCAATCGTCACAGTTCTCTGCAAACTTAGAAAAAATGCTGAGAGAAAAACTGAAGAAGCCAGGCTGGCCGACATCCTGTAACCCTGCCTCAGCATGATGAAAACCCGTAAGTTCAAAGTTGACCAGGGGTGCAGAGCAAGTCGTAGGCCAGCTAGCTGAGACCCTATCTTAGCAGTATATATACTACGACCTCATGCTGGGGTTATAGTTTGCTGGAGGAGCACATACCTGGCATGAGATGAGGCCCCAAATTTAATCCCTAGTATCAAAAAATAAATTAATTAATTAAATGAAAAGAAAAAGAAACTAAAGAAGATACAGAAATGAAAACACTTTCCACGTTCGTTGTTTAGAAGAATTAATATCGTCAAAACATTCTATTAAGGGCAATCTAATGATTCAATGCCATTGCCATCAAAAATAACAGTGACATTGTTCACCAAGCTATAGAAATCAACCCTAAAATTTACACAGAATCATGAGAGATCCCAATAGCTGCGGCAATCTAAAGAAAAAAAGAGCAGATTGGGATGTGATTGGAATGTGATACTGAGCAGCTCAGGGTACAGAGGGCAATGGGGGAAGGGATGCTAAAATGGAAGCTGGGGGTTGGCAGAACTCAGGCCACACAAACCCAGAGTGCACTGAAGCCCCAGAACTGACCTGGGTCCAGTGTGGAAGCACTCTTATGCTGGGACCTGTGGGAGAATTAAGTGGGAGAATCAAGACAGATGACAGCCAGGTCTGTAGCTAGATGACAATTATATTCACACACATACAGTAATCTTTATCCGATTCCTCTTTGCCTCCGAGGCCCTGTTTGGCTCTCGGGGAACGTGCGGCAATATGAGTTTTCCTGCCCTCCGTTTTCTGAACACACATTTTTGAGGGTGGGCCCAAGCTTTGTGGTCTGGGTGGTAGAGAGTGTGCTGGACCTGCATCATGCAGTG